AACCAGGAAGTGATCCCCGTCGACTGCGGTACTCCAGCTCAGCGAGAGGAGAACCGCGAAGTCGACGGGGAGCCTGACCGCCGCGTGTGGACCGCGTCTGAACCGCGGTAAGGTCAAAGTAAGGTATGTCGAATTCAGCTACGTTATTCACGTAGCTGAATTTGCGTACCTTACTTCGATTTGGGGGGTAAGTGTAGACCAGCCCTTACAGAAGAAATGGGTAGGGGAGAAGATGGACTAAGACGGACCAGGTCCATGTCAGGTTTTAAACATAAGGGGTCACATTTTGGGGTAAATCCATAGTAACTCCTTTGATTTTAGTGAACGTCAAAGATTAACTGCAATTAAGTTATTCTGGATTTATACCAGCGTAACTAACTGAGTAAAATTTGTCTCAAGGAGGGAAATTGTGAACTGGATCAAAGAGTACTTGAAATCAATCCTGAAATGACTAGAAAATTGTTTGTAAATACATGTAATTTGGTTGTGCTTCTTGTATTTATGAGGCAGACCTGGCAGGAGCATACTTCATATGCTGGAGTCTGAAGAGCTGGGAACTATAACAGTCAAGCTGAGAGGAAATGAAGGCATTAATGAGTATTTTCAGTAGTAAGGGTTGGGGTAAAGATGTACATTGGTATTGTGGCATATTTGGTGATGTATATATTTACACATATGGGAGATACTGGAGAAGACAGTTCTAGGTCAAGGGTGACACTAATTATTTGAATAATGGTAGCAAAGGGGAGGTGCTTTGTTAATAAAGGAGATTCTCCCTTTCTTAGCAGCCAAATAATATTAAAAAGTGGTCCCTCAAAATTACTTTTATAGAATAAAACAGAAACTTGAAGACTCGTGGGGTTAGTGAGGGGTTAAATAAATTTTCACCAGTTTGAATCTAACTCAGGTTGCGACCAGAGGTAGACTTGACCAAAACCCTAAATCTGAACATTATAATTGGATTTGAGTTTCAGGGCCATAATGTGTCAAATACAAACACTGAACACAACTACTGCTCAAAATGGAAAAGTGTGGATTTCAAACAAATTGCCGTGTTCAGACCTCAGGGTGTAGATTCAAGCTCCTGTCAAGTAGTCGCAAAGTGAAAAGTAGGTGGTCTCAGTGCAATTCCTGGCAGACAGGTTTCCACATCAAGCCAAACCACAAATAAATAAATAGTGTTATGTTAACATCTAAAGACCCCAACCAAGATCAGGCCCTATTGTGCTAGGCACTGTATAAATATATAGTAAGAGACAGTCCTACTCTGAAAAGCTTATTGTCTAACTAGACTAAGCAGACAAAAGGTGGAAAGGGAAATAAAAATACAGTAGTGAAGTGACTTTCCCAAGGTCACAGAGCCAGACAGTAGCAGAGCCTGGGTCTGAGTTCCATTACAGTGCTGTGGACATTGGACCACAGGACCTTTCTTTCTCCAATAATCATTGCTGCACAGTAGTGCTGATAGACTGCATGACTCTGTACAAACCAAGGAAGATATGGTTCCTGCCCCAAGGAGCTTACAATCTAGGCAAACAATACAATTCAGATACAAAATGTACCGGAAGATGAGAAAACTGATCGATCAGAAAACACTGCAGGTTTTTTTTAAACAATAAAACCTCTCTTTGTTTGACAAATTAACATTAATAGGACTTGCTAAAGAAGTGCAATTTAAAGAAGGATTAGAATACACAGAGCATAACTAGTTACCATAAAATCCCCTGGGGTGCTGAGTGCCAAAGGCATGAGAGCTTAGGAAATGAGGTGATCAGTGCATGCGTAGTAAATATGCCCTGGAGTATCAGTATCCCTAACTAATTCTTAGATGAGGTAACACTTCTGTATGTGGTCAGAAAATATTTAGTTTAGGTATGCAACAAGGAAACAGCTGCCAAAGTGCTGGAGCATGGTCCAAAAGCAACAATGCCTATTTAAATATGAAGCTTCTCAAGCTTTGCCAGAAGCTGGGAATGAGCAACAGGGAATGGATCACTTGATGATTACCTGTTCTGTTCATTCCCTTTGGGGCATCTGGCATTGGCCACTGTCAGAAGACATGATACTGGGCTAGATGGACCTTTGGTCTGACCCAGTATGGCCATTCTTATGTTCTTAGAGGCCAGATTACATTTTAAAAAGACATAATACTGACAATAATTATGAATGTGTTTTTTGGGAAGGAACTTAAATGATGCATTTCACATGAAGTGGAAAGTAGGTTTTAGAAACCACACTTACTATCATACAAATGTGCCTAATGAAAGCGGCCATACTGATCCTAATCCAACTTTACTGTGACTCTCACCTCATGTTGGCTCAGTTTGTAAATTTTACTTCTGATGGAACAATTTGTAAATTTTTAATAAGTTATGGGCTAGAGGCTTTTCAACTCCCCTTCTTTAGTAGCCATTACATATAAAATCAGAAGAACCACCAGGGAGAAAAGAGACTGTCAGTAGTGAATAAAGAAAACCTCTGATCCTTTTTCATACTAAAAAATAAGTGTTTGGATATATTTTTTTTTAAGATTGATCTATTAAACTCTGCATATTGCAATGTCTTTGATTTCTGGTTGCCTTTTTTCAGGAGCTACTCAAGGAACAAAAGTTCTAACAATTTTAATTTCTCATTTTAAGATTTTTTTTTTAACATGACATATAGCTATAGTTAGGCATTTTCTACATAATCACACCACTTCAGGTGTCCTAGGCCACTACCTGCATAGTACTTTTCCTTATTGATCATGTGAGCAAAGAATAAATGTAACCATTACTTGACCTATGACCACAAGGCCATTCAGAGCATCCTGAAAAGTTGCTCCTATGTGGAGCTCCTATGTGGGCTGGTCTCTGAGTGGACACTAAACAGCTCCTTGAAATTTCTCACAGCGTGGCAGGTACCACGATAAACACAATTGTCATGACAGTGCAACACAAGCAGCACACAAGGGCCTGAATCTGTAATCATTTAATTCCTCTCTGCATCCACAGAAAATATCAGAGCTCCAAAAAAAAAAATTAAAAAAAATCTCTATTGTAATTTACAGTCAAGGTCCCCAATCCTCCACTCTTTAGGTTTGTCTACACACCCCTGCAGTACAGACTCTGAGGGTATGAACTGTAGCATGCACTAGCATGCTGCACTGTAACGCCATGTGGATGCCGCTGACACGAACTAAAAGGTACCTAAGTTTGCATTAACATAGTCTTGTTTAAAAGAGGCCTAAGTTAACGGTGAACTGGGTATCTCCTAATTTGTGCCTGCAGTATTCACACAGGGAAGTGACAGCACAACATGCTAGGGCATGCTGCAAGTCACACCCCCTGTAGAATGAACTGCAGGGCCACAAAGACATTGCCTTTGCTCAAGTAAAGAAATGCAGGGGGCAAGCACTTATAAGGTAAATCACATTGTATCTGGGCGCTGAAATACTTCATAGCTTGTACACATGCTCTATAATTGACTGAGACCCTCTCTAACGAGGTACTCGTGATTTTAGAAGTGGCACCACTACACATTATGAACCCACACTAGCTCTTCATTAGAAAGTCCATGAGCACCCAGTGGATCACAGCCAACAATTTGGGAAGCTCTATGTATAGCCATCTTCTTTTACATCAGGAATGGTAACATACAAAAGCCAGTAGGTGAACACTTTAACCTCCCTGGACATTCTATAAACAGATTTAAAAGTAACTATTCTTGAACAAAAAAACTTCAGAAACAGACTTCAAAGAGAAACAGCAGAACTAAAATTCATTTGCAAATTTAACACCATTAATTTAGGCTTGAATAGGGACTGGGAGTGGCTGGCTCATTACAAAAACAGCTTTGCCTCTCCTGGAATTGACACCTCCTCATCTATTATTGAGAGTGGACTACATCCACCCTGATCGAATTGGCCCTGTCAACACTGGTTCTCCACTTGTGAGGTACTCCCTTCTCTTCATGTGTCATTATATAATGTCTGCATCTGTATCTTTCACTCCATGCATCTGGAGAAGTGAGGTTTTTTACCCATGAAAGCTTAAGCCTAAATAAATCTGTTAGTCTTTAAGGTGCCACCGGACTCCTTGTTGTTTTTGTGGATACAGACTAACATGCTACCCCCCTGATACTTGACATCTTTTGCAGTCCATGGACCTTTGATGATGCTAAACACAGACCACTCTATCATCTGAAAAAATAGAAATCAACTCAATTTGTGAATTTTAGGACACTAACCTTAAGAAAGTGTTTAATCATTTACGTCATGGACTTCAAGCTGCAGCTTTCTGTGACAGCCTTGCAATCAACTATGTCTATCATCCTTCTGTTTTCCTCTCCTGACATACGTCCACACGTTGGGATCACTATACACTTGGTCTCTACCAGATTCTATGATCAGTAATCTAGCACTGTGTAGCTAGGCAGTGCACTCATCTGAACATTTCACACAAGCAACAGCCACTAAAATAGTGTCTTGCATTGGAGCATGACTCCAACTTTGAAGGACTTGTTCATGAAACTAGTGTGTGACCATTCCTGACTTACAAGGAAACAGACAAAGAAAATATGGAGAGAAGAAAGAAAATAAATGTGTAACTGGAGGAAAAATCATGGACACACAAATATACAGTAAAAAACACAATGGGGAAGATATCATAGAAATACGTGTGACACAGAGGTGGTACTTATCATGGTATCATGAAAAACAGATTAATCAGAACAAGGTTTGAATCTCTGTATACTTGTAATATATTTATCATGTATGTACAGTATTGCTTTCCATGAACCTAAGTTAGAACACTTGGCTGAGATTTTCAAAAGTTTCAAAACTCGCTTTTGTAATAAATGGGATCTGTGTGGCTCACTCCCCTACCTTGGCTTTGAAAATCTCAAATTATGCTTGGAGTGGGTTGCACTTGCATCACCTTCAATTTTGTAACTATTAAATCAAAGCTTATTTGCTGGAAGGCCACTCTGCTTATATCATATTGGTCTTAATTCTACTTTCTAGTACATGGGTACCAGTGGACTGCCGCTTATCCACTCCTTGTGTTCACACACATGCTCTGTACCATATTTTTCCAAGTTATGCATTGATGTATTCCCATATACCTAGGAGAGTAGTCAAAATCTTATATATTATATTGTATTTTAAGTAGCACACATTGAGCAAACTGAAATCAGATAACAGGGTTAAAATAAAAAATAAATGTATTTACAACACTGCATAAATTGTGCAATTATCCATTCAGAAAACAAAATATAATCACATTAACATAAAAATAAAAAATTTATTACAATCCACATTCAATACATTTTTGAATAACTATAAATTCTTAATTTCTAACCAACATTTTCTTTAAAAAAAGCTTGTTTAAAATAGTAACTTTTGACCCTCTCTCGTTTAAACAGCATCTAAAATGCTTTGTTAATTTATTACTGATCAGTTGGTCTTTGTCGTAAATTTCTAGATTTTCCATTTTCAAATTTTCTCTTTTTGAAGATCGGAACCTCTTCTGTCAGGTCTCCAAGGGAGGTGACTGTTTTTTCTTTAAATATCATTTTTGCATCCTCTGGAACCTGGAGCACTGGCAGAGGGAGATAGTCACTCTCTGTACTGGGAAGCTCTAAGTCCACTTTTTCACTAGGAGAGGAGGTAAAAAAACAACAACTGCTAGATGACAAGAACAAGAATGGCACCACAGACGGCAGATAGCACTTTTATTTTCATAGCGGCCCGACAAAATTGTTAGGAAATTTTATAACCCTGGCACAAGTTTACTTGCCCATCCTCATCATGACCATGATAATCTGGCATTAAAATAAATACTGTATTTGCCTTGGGTGAGCTGACAAATAGCAAACTAGGGCCCCTATCCTGCAAACACTCAAGCATGTAAGCATTTTGCTCATGTAAGTCCTATAATAGCCATTATTGCTACTCATGTGTAAAGTTAAGCAGGTGCGTAAGTGTTTGCAGGGTCAACATCTAAGGGAACAATCTTTTGGTACATGATTAGGGAGTTTTGCCAAAGCACACAGGATCAGGTCACATGAGCTTGACTTTGAACAGGGGCTAAGCAGCTACACCCACCACTGAAGTCAACCAGAGCTGCAGGTAGCCAGCAGTCCTCAGGATAAGACCTTAAACCTAACAACTAAGAAATATAAGGTTTGAGTTACAATCATCAGCTGCCACTGTTTCTGTATTGTTCCACACAGTTCCAGCTTTTCCCACTAAACGGTAAGCCCTTGGAGGCAAAAAATCTGTAATTTGTTTGGTACAGCTTTCCTGCTGCGCAGCCTCAGAGATGCTATATCCATAATAAATCAGGCTATGATTTAGTCCTGGGTATTTTTAGTAAAAGTCGTGGACAGGTCATGGGCAATAAACAAAAATTCATGGCCTATGACCTGTCCATGACTTGTACTATATACCCCTGACTAAATCTTAGCTAGGGTGCGGGGGTGCTTCTCTGGTGGGTAGGGGTGGGCCGCTGCTCTAGGGAGTGGGGGGGCTGCTCTGGGGACGGGGGCCCGAGGTTCAGCAGCACCAACTGCTGGGGGCCACTGAACAGCAGCTGCTCTGGCTGCCCCTGGGACCGCCCACCTGTCACTGCTCCTGTTGCCCCCAGGACCACTGCTCAGGTGGTCCCCAGGGCCAGCTGCACAGGCCAGTTGCGGCTCCAGCAGTGCCATTGCGGCTGGCTGTGGAGCCACTTCAGCAGTAGCTGATGTGGATGTCCCTGGGACCGCCTGAGCGGCTGGCCCCCAGGTCAGCCACACCAGCCACTGCAGAAGTCACGTCACGTCATGTCACCTAACCAAATAAACAAACAAACAAACAAATGAATAAATGTCATTACATTAAAAAAATAAATTAAAAGAGTCACTTTATTCCATGGGCTCTATCATAACGGGGTTAAAAAGAACTTTTGAAGTAATTTTGCTCAGATCCATTAATTGGATTGAGGGTTAATGAAGAAAGGAGGGAAATACAGAATATTGTGTACCTGCTTTAGACTAATCTCCACCACACTAAAAGCCTGTGCTCCTGAAGATTGATATATTCTAACACACAGTGGTTTAGCCACATATATTCACACCCTACACACTATTATAATAATCTTTGTACAAAATACATCTTGTGAGGCATCATTTGAAAACGAATAACTCACTGGTCAATAATATCATGGTGAAATGTATGTAGCAACAGTATATATAAAGTTATGAAATATCCCTGTATGATGTTCTTCACGTATGTTCAAAACCACACAGCCCTGCCTAGGCACAAGTATACTGAACGCAGAACTGTGTGTTGACCTCAATGTACATATAAGTAGTAAACAGGGTCCTCAAGACAGCAGGGAGAAGAGATGGCAGGAGGCAAAGCAAAGTTGCATTTCACCAAACACGTGAGAAGAAAGAGCCTGGCGCCTCCTTCACCACCAGACTCCATGTTGCCTTCTTTACAGTTTGAATAACTTTGCTTTGAGTAATAACCATCAGAAGAATCCACTTCAAAGGTTAACTGGATTATAAAAGAAAAGGGCAGAAAAACTCAAGCTATCTTTCTCTCTCTTTTACCTAAGAAGACAAAGGAACCAGCCCTTTGGCTTTCGGAGAAGATCCTGACCTGGGAATTTGGTCAGCCCGATTGCTGGGAACACGTGGTAAGGATTTTGCCTTGAACCAAGTCTAGCTTATTAAGTTTTAGCTAAGAGAAAGCATTTTATCTATTTCTCTTGTAACCATTTTCGACTTTAATACCATATATTTGTACTCACTTAAAATCTCTCTCTCTCTGTAGTTAAATGAACTTGTTTTATTTTTAATCTAAACTAATCCTGTGCTCTGTTTAAACTGAATGTTTGGTAACTCCAGGTAAAGTAGCAAACTGTTGAATATTGACCTTTTGCAGGGACAACGGACCTTTATATCGGAACTGTCCAGGAAATGGCTGAACAGTGCAGAACTCAGTTTTTTGGGAAAATTCGGAACTGGGAGTGTGTTGGGTGGTGGAAGCCAGAGTGTTGCTGACAGGCTGCTGGGATCAGAGTTGCTGGACCAGGGCTGCAGGTAAACAGACACTCAGGGTGTGACCTGCATGGTTGTTTGTGAGTAGTCCTGACTGGGAGCTGCAATAGCAAGGCATTGTGAAGCACCCAAGGTTGCAGGGCAGGGGGTGACACAACCCCTCACTGGGCTGGATTGCACCCCAGCATGTGACAATATATATAGTCATCAAATATATATTACAACTGACTTTGGGAACTTTAAAAAAAAAAATCCTTTAAAGTCCCTGAAATGAACTTCAATTATAAGCTATTCAGGGAACAGATGGTCTCTACCACTAGAGCCCTGTAAATCCATGGGTATCCGTTTTGTATCCACAGACCATTATTGTGTATTGCAGCGCGGATGCGGATACAAAATTTGTATCCGCACAAGGCTCTGTAGCATGGAAACACCCGAACACTGCGGGTGTCACCCAGCCTGCAGGCTCCAACTTGGCTCTCTGAATCACGCAGCAGTGTGCTGGGCATTCTGGCAGTTGTAGTCCCCAGCTTGCTCGGAGGGAGGAGGTAAACTACAGCTCCCAGAAGGGAGTGAGCCAAGCGCCGTTTTGAAGGTGTGGTTGTTCTTTAAATGAGCAGGCGGCAATGGCTACGTGCATTAGAGCCACTGCAACTGCGTAGGGGTGTCCGAGCCCCTCACAGGGATGGCAGCACTGCATAGAAGGATCCAGAATTGTAGCCTCCCTGCCCGGAGCGAGGAAGGAGGTACAGCAGGGGAGGAGCAGGCGGGAGGACAGGAGGTCTTTGGTGAGAAGTGGGGCTGGGGGGGTAGGGTGGTCGGGGGTTTGACACAGCCCTGTGTCACTGCTGTGCAGTGACCTGTGGAGCTTTTTAGAGCCCTGAAAATCCGCAGATATATGCAGATATCCACAGACAATTTTTGCGGATCGTGGATCGGATACAGATACACCTTTTTTTATCCGCGCAGAGCTCTATCACTTTGTTTCTACAGTGGGTAAGCTAATGGGGCTCTAATTCTGATCAAGGCTCTGTGCTACCATAATCTAAATATTAATTAATGTTTGTGGGTTAAACTGAAAACCTCTCACGATAAGCCTAGCATCTCACTCCATGAATGGAAGATGTGACTGCGTCCTTCCTGTAATCAAAAGTCATCTCTCACCTCTGGAGTATGAGAGTGCCTTTTGCCATTGTTCCCCACTTCCATTATACTAGAACCACAGGTAACCCAGCCTGCACCTGAGAACCCACAAAAGAATAAACATTTTTATTAGAATTTGCTAAATTGCCACCAAGACAAAGAAGACTTGCATCGCAGAAGTTCTTGAAGAAAGGACAACGAAGGGCATGTCTTCCCCATGCAACTGAGCAAAGTCTCTTTTGTCCACAGACAACCATCTTACATGAAAGCTTAAGAAATGAGGGAAAAGTGGCAGCCTTAACTATACTGAGCTGAACAAGTGACATTATACTATGATTCTTACCTATGGAATGCTGAATTTGTTATTATTATTATTTGCATTACTGTAGTGCTTAGGAGTCCTACTCATGGACCAGATCCCACTAGGTGTTGTGTAAACACTGAACAATAAGACGGTCCAACGATGGTACAACTTTGCATTTACCTAAGGATCCATGCATCCTTATTAATTAACCTTTCTGAGACATGAAAGTGTTATCCCCCTTTTACAGTGAGGGAAAATTAAGCACAAAGAGGTTTAGTGACTTGCCACAAGGTAACCAGCGAGTTTCGGGTAGAATCAGAAACGGAACCCAAGAGTCTTGACTCCCAATTGCCTTGCTCTAAGTACCAACTTCCCATATTTTTGAGGATAACACAAGCAATTTGTAGCAACTAGTAAATATTTTTACTGTTAACAGTGAAAGATATTTTTATACTAATAATAAGTGACTATTTTTACTCTAGTAAAATGCATTATTTTAATTAATTTATGAAAAGATCATATGGGAAACTCTCAAACAATAACAGCTATCTGAAAAGATCAAGCTCCATTTCTAGCTGCCTGTAGAGAAGCAACATGGGAAGGCTCTACCATGTCCTCCAAGACATGAGACCACATGGTCATGTTTAATCTAATGAATGTGTAAGCAAGCAGAATACCTGATTTTACTAGATATGTAGCAATATGTGGGCAGGATTTAGCCTATAATTTTTACATAGAGAGAGAGTTCAACAAGCATCATCTGCTTCTCTGATCAAATATTACTGAATTTTTGGAAAAATATATACAGAGCCAAATTTTTAAAGGTGAAAAAATTGTATGCATGCCAATTTGCATTCACACCCAGAATGGGGCCTACAAAACTACACTTAAAAATCTGGCCCATGGCATCTGAATGCTAAATCCATTGAAAACAACCATCACCAGCAATTTGTGAAGTTTACCCTGTGATTATAATGAACTTCAGCATTAAAAAAGAATGAAAACTACTTTTTAAATAATCACCATGGGTAAAACCCTTAAATCTTTACTCAGGCTAAACTCCAACTGACTTGAGTATTAATATTGCCTAAGTGAGGAATGCAGGTTTTGGCCCTATAGATAGGGCCTCTGGAACAGCAAGGTGATAGACCTCTTATAAATACTTATGGTAAATGGACACTTACTATGGGTCTTCCTTTTCTGTAACTGTCTCCCAGTTTCCATAAGGGTTTGTCTTTTTAGATACATTGTGGGAGGTAACTTGTGGAACTGACGGGGCCTCATCCTGAGCAACATCAGTTTCTTGTTTAACTTCCTGCCACTCTCCATAAGGGCTTATCTTTTTAACTTTGGGGGGCTTCTCTTCCTCTGTTTCTTCATCGCTGTCTCTTTTCATCTAAGGAAGAAAAAAAACTCACCTTCAGCAAAAATGCCTAAATGAAACAACAGAATATTGCTCTTTTTCACATCTATTATTTATACTTTTCAACCAAGGAAAACCAAAAGCAATAAAGAAACAATATTTTAGTAGAATTTTACTATTTTTCTCCACAAGCTTCTTACTCCATTCAGAAAGAGACAGTCATTCAATACATGCATAAGAAGAACAATCATTAGAACAAGCTATAGTTAAAAGGTCCCGTCTCACACAGCTGAAAATGAGTGGAGTACCACATACACATTTACAAAACAAAGCTCTATCACATATATTTAACTTTTAATTCTTTTTTTAATTAAATATTCTTTGCACACTTTCTTATGGATAACATTTGGTAGAACTTTGACTAGTTTCGTACACAGCGGGGAAGAAAATTGGAATAATACCTTAAAGCATTTGTATCTGGGTATTTTCACACTTTAAATGAAAACACTATCTTTGGAAGCCCAAGTTACTGTTTCTGGACTCAAAATAAAAGGCACTGGAAAATTTTTATCTACCCATACCTAAAATTACAGCCTTTATTGTGAACTTTAATATGAAGACATAGTATCTAGTTTTGACACTACTTTTATCCTACCATTGGTCTTGATGGACAATTAATAGGAAAGCCTGTAAGTGTCAAATTTTCAGACAACGGCCATGACCTTGTGGTGTCCCACTGTAAACAGATACCTTTGAAGAATATGGGCCAAAAATTATAGCCACATATTGAAGTCAATATCAATCTGAGGATCATCTAATGGGGATGCCAATGCCCTTCCTTGGAAACCATGAGCACCTCTAGCTACATCCAAGCCACCCATATTGAGGAGTCTATCTTCCATGGTGTAACAGTGCTGCTGATGTTCCTATAGATTAACAGTTATTTATTTTGCTTTTCAAGCACTATAAAGTGCTAATTCTTATCAACGTCAACCAGGTTTAACCTAACTACAATCAATATAGCCACCCAGAAAGATGAAATCACGTTATTCCGGAACATTAATATTGTACATAAAGTAAATCTGACGGAAAAAAAAACTTACCTTTAAGTTTGTTTCTGGCTTTTGTACTTCACTTTTATTACCATCCTTCTCAGCATCTGATTCAGATCCCTTTGAATCCGCTGTGGTGTGTTCTTCAGGATGATTGTCATCTTTATTGCTCTCATACGAAGATGAAACAAAACCATGAGGCTTCTCCCACATTGATACTGTTCAACATATTTGGACAGTCATATTATTCATGTTTTAATTCTGGCCTTACATCAGTTCCACTTTGACAACATTAACCTTAAGCAGTACCATATGCTCCATGTGAAAAATACAGTAAAGAATTTAGCATAAGCCCTTCCACTTTTCTTTTTTTCCTCATGTTTTCTTTCTAGACTTCTCAAAATTACTTTTTCAATATTTTATTTTTAAACACAAGTTTCATGACAGTTCCACTCAACTTATGAAAAGACTTGCTGTATCCTGTCCTCTACTATGCATTTGATCTTTTCTTTAAAGTAGAAATACTTCAATTAAACCTGTCCAACCTACTATACATTTGCTTTTCATACCATTAGTTCTCTTTTCAGATTGGATAATTTAACTATAACAACCCTAATAATGGATTAGGATTCTTTGGCATGTAACTGTGAACATAATTAACACAGCTATAACCCACACTGTTCCCCACTACAAAAATACCTTTGACCATGCATTGGCCATCTCTTGCATTGATTATTCTAACATATTCAGATATGGTGTCCCAGCCCTCCGCACAGATTTTAAAGCCAGCATCCCTATTTACAGACTGAAAGTCTATCAGTTTCCTCAGTGCTAGCTGACTCAGTAGAATACAGTAGAACTAAGGCTCTTTAATTAAAAAGCAGCGTTTACATATCCAAACCTGATTTATTGGAAGTCCCTCAAACAGCTGAGGGACATGACCTTATCTTGAATTAAACAATGATGTTCCAGTAAACATGTTGAGTGAGATGGTGTGATGGATGTATCCACATATTGAAAATCCCAATGTCATCACTTAATTGCCTTTAATGCACTGATTTTAATAAAATGTTCCACTATTAAGTTAAAAACCAAGTAATTTCCAGCATTCATTTGAAGAGTCAACAATTAGTTGAAGAGTTTGCATAGATAGATTCTATTTGACTAGCCAAATCAGTTTTATAACACTGGAAAGTACACTGACGCTCAAAAAATTATTTTAAAGGAACACTCAAATTAATAAAAACTATCATACTTTTGACATTATTTTCACATTTTAGACATATTAATTAAAAACATTTAACAAATGCACTTCTAAGATTTATTATCTTCAAAGAGCAAAAGCTTTCTTATTTAGGTGTGTTGTACTGACATCTAGTGGCCTTCAAAGCTGTTAACAACAAAACAGAGTTTTTGTTGACAATTGTCCCTTCTTTAGAACACAGGGTTAACTAAGAGGATATGTACTCCAACAGAGTTAAATTGCACTGAAAATTAAAACCACAAATATTTGTCTGGTGGTCACAATGAATGGTAACTCAAAATCCAACAGGTATAAAATAATACCAAGCAAAATAGTTACAAAGAAGTTGTTCATGCAGCTTACACAACTATGTAGAACTGTCAAAAGTAACAAAACACAAATTATAAAATACAAACTGGAGTTTAAAAGAGAGCACTGACACATGACCTGCAAACAAATCTACAAAAACCCCAAAGCAAAACCCATCTTTTTGCATATTTATGCTACATATGCTGAGAAGAGTTATTTTTCTGCTTCCTTAGAAATATCAAGACTGCCAAGTCTGATTTTCCCTGTTTTTTTCGGGAGAACATGTCAGTAGTCTCAGATGTTTATTCTATGCTCTGAAGACTTAAGTGAAGGGCAGGTTCTTTAATCATTTAGAAAGAATTCATTTCTCCAAAATGTTGATTAGTTATTACAGTTAAATAGGTGTTAAACAAACGAACAAAAAGCAAAGAGTTTTTACAAGAAATTGACTAAAATCACTTTCCTTCTCAGTAGCTTAACTTTCTTTCTTTTGGGTCTTTTGGCATTATTTCACTAGTTCTCCATCCTAGAATCTTTTCAAGCCTAGACAAATGCTGAATTTCTATTATGGATGAAAAACAACAACAAATAAAGAAATAAAGCCATCCTTTCAAGTCTTCTTCATACATCATAACGAATCAAAAAAAGGACACAGTTCAATTTTTTTGCAGGTGAAGAAGGGTTTTTAAGTTAGATTGCTTAAACCTCTTTGTTTCCAGGTATTTAACTCAAAATTCTGACACCCAAGGAAAAAAGTTCTCTGTTAAAGATTCAAACCAGCATAGGCGCCGACTCCGTGGGTGCTCCAGGGCTGAAGCACTCACAGGGAAAAAATGGTGGCTTCTGAGCACCCACCAGCAGCCGCCCTATCAGCTTTCCCCCACCCCCCAGAATGCCTCCCGCCCACCAGCAGGCCCCACGGATCAGCACCTCCCCCCCTCCAATGCCTCCCGCCCACCACGAACAGCTGTTTCACTGCATGCAGGCAGGAGGCTCTGGAGGGAAGAGGGGAAGAGTGAGGACATGGCATGCTCGGGGGAGGGGGAGGAACTGGGCGGGAAGAGGTGAGGTGGGGGTGGGGCCTTGGGGGAAGGGGTGGAGTTGGGGTGGGGTCTGGGACAGAGCCAGAGGTTGAGCACCCCCCAGCACTTTGGAAAGTCAGCAACTAGCGCTGTCAATTAATCGCAGTTAACGGCTGTGATTAACTGAAAGCAAAATTCACGAGTTAATTTTTTGAATGTGTTAATCACATGCCTGTGGGCGGGGCAGAAGGCATCGGGGCGGGGAGATTTGAAGCCTCAGCCCACAGCTCCATGGACAGCGGAGGGGCTGAAGCAGCTCCAGCCTGCAGTTTCCCTGGTGGCAAGGGGGCTGGAGCCCAGCGAGAACAGCTGAAGTTCCGAGCCCCAAACTGGGCTGAAGCCCCGCACCGTGCCCCGAGAGGGGCTGAAGTGTTGAGACCCCAGGGGTTGAATTCCTGAGCCCCGTGCCCCCGGGGGGGCTGAAGCCCTGAGCTGGGCTGTAGCCCAGAGCCCCCAGTCCTAACCCTATATTTGAAAGTATAGAAAACCCAAAAAATTTAAATAAATGGTATTCTAATATTGTTTAACAGTGCAATTAAAACTGCTATTGGTGTATTGTGCACTAAGGAATTTGAGCGTTTTCAGGAGATGGCGTGGTTTTTGATTAGGCCCCTCGCCCTCTTGGTAGTATTCCCCTTTTGGGATAGGGGACTGGCCGTCCCATTTCGGATTCCCAGGTGATAGGTGATAATGAAATTGATCTGAGAGAAAAATAATGCCCACCTGAGCTATCTTTGGTTCAAGGCTTGAGCCTTCCACAGATATTCCAGGTTCTTAAGGTCGGAAAAGACTTGCACTGGGTGTCGGGCTCCCTCGAGGTGATGGTGCCAGAATTCCAAGACTAATTTAATTGTGAGCAGTTCCTTATTTATTATCTTATCATTCCATTCTTCAGGGGGTGAGTTTTCAGGAGTAGTTGGTGCAGGGGTGCAACACGTGCTGTGGACCATGCCTCTGAGACAGTATGGCCTTGATGGTTACATTGGAGGCATGGCTTCCACTATGAATGCCTGGGCCGAGTCTGGGTGTGTTAGAAGCAGAGCAGTGGTGAAAGCAGCCTTGAGCTGTTCAAAAGCATGGCGAGCTTCACGTGTCCAAACAAATTTGATGGCCCTGCAGAGTAGGTTGGCTACTGGGGCTATTTACCTTGAGAAACCTGTAATGAACAATTGGCAAAATTTGCAAAGCCCAGAAGAACTGTAACTCCCGGAGGGAATAGGGCACTGCCCAGTTGCGGATGGCCTTTACCTTCCGAGGGTCCATCCTGACTCCTTCTGGGGAAAGGATTCTGTGGAGGACTGGTCAAAGGTACATTTTTCCAATGTCACAAAAAGGCCAGGCTTCTGTAGTCTTTTCAGGATGGAATGAATGTGGTAACAAATCTGCTCAGGATTATCTGAAAACACAAGTATGTCATTGAGATGGATGATTACATACTGGTCCAGGATGTCTCAAAATATGTTGTTCGTGAAGTGTTGAAAGGTTGAAGGAGCATTTGTCAGCCTGAATGGCATTACTAAATATTTGAAGTGCCCATAGCGGGGTTTGAAAGGCAGTCTTCCATTCATCTCCTACCCTGATGCGCACTAGGTTGTAAGCACCCCAGAAGTCCAGTTTGGTAAAAATTCTGGCAGACCACACATGATCTAGTAACTCTGATATTAAGGGTAGAGGATACAGGTTTTGGACCATCACCTGGTTTAGGGCCCGATAGCCTACAGAAAGGCTTAGCATTCTGTCTTTTTTCTTAATGAAAAGGACTGAAGCCCCTGCTGGGGAGGTGAAGTGCTAGATGAAGCCCTTGTCCATGTTTTCCTGGACGCACACACGAAGGGCTGCCAGTTCTGGTTTGGACATCGCATAAATATGTTCGTAAGGGATCTTTGCCCCAGGCTGCAGGTCTATGTAGTCTTGGTGCACAGGTAGCGTGTCTACATTTTTCTTTTAAAAAATGTCTGCATAATCCCAATACTCTTCAGGGAGATGGGGACTCAAGCTTGGGAGTGACTCCTTCTGGTTAGCTGCCACCATCTTGCGTTCCCCCACAGGTTCTGTCGTTTCCAATTGGCTACAGGAAACGGAGACTGGAGGCTTGAAGCCAGCTGCACACAGGCAGACCCTTCAGCAGTATTCCAAGGGAAAGCAGACCCTTTTTTCTCTCCAGGAGATGCAAGAGTCGTGCTGCTCCAGCCAGGTAATTCCAAGAATTAGGAGGCAGTGTAGAGAATGGATCATATTGAACTGTAGCACTTCCCAAAGGGCCAGGATTACAGCCTTTAGGGGTTCTGTTTCCTGCATTACTGGTCCTGAGGACAGGATGTATCCATCTATTGCCTCTACAAGGACTGATGTAGGCTTTAATCAGAGGGGGGGATTTGTAGTGCTCAAGCAGCTTTAGCATCTGTGATGTTATTGGTAGCCCTGGAATCAATCAGGTCCCACTAAGGGGGAATCAGTTTGGCCTCATTCATGGTACGTAACTTTACTCATACTTGGAAGTGTGGGGAGGACCTGCGTGTCCTGGATCAAGTTTCTCTTGAGGACTGGGGAGTAGTTCCAGAACATAGAGCCCTGGTGGTGCCCA